ACGTCAATCAGGTCAGGACGCACCATCGACCTTTCTACAGCCCTGCAAAGGCACGCCTCAAGTGAAACGTAATCTTAATACTGGCCATACGAAAGACATAATTTCATAAGTCATCAGTTGACAAGACCGGTCAAAAATCAATAGTATTGAAACTTCTCGAGAACCGAGCTGGTTTGAAAACACATTGATAAGAATAGTGTAGTAAAATTTAAACATTATTTATAAAATAATAAGCAACAACAGTAAACACATTACTTTATAGCGTGCTTTAGGGACAAATGAAGTAAGTAATGAATTATATGATATAAAATAGTAAAGGCGATTTATTCATTTTCTCCATATATTTTCAGAAGGACATCTACGTTTGTACGTGCTTATAACTCAAACTCTGCCGTTGGCGCAACTTCCGAAGGAAAATATGTTACAACATCATTGGCGATTCACTAGATCAGTTTATAAACAAGTATACTCGGAATGCAATCTCTTGGTTTGTATTGTCAGAGTTCCAAATGGCCCGCCTACAGCGTGAAATTCAGATAGCGAATTCAATTGAACGTGTTGCACTGGAACCCTAGATTTCAAATGTGAAGAGAAATCGGAAACAAATCGAGTCATACAATATTTCGTCTTTGATTTCAGAACGGAACTCTGCGGAAAAGTGAAGAGAAATTAATAAAATTCGAAATAAAAAAGGAATGATACATCAATGTTCGAAATGTGGCATTTTAAACTGATTTACACATTTATTTTTGTAAATGAGGAGGTTATAATTATTTTGATTTCATAAATTTAATTTAATAATTGATACTTATTATCGTTATTATCGTGCGTAATGTTTTAACCCCACGTGACGCGCGTCTGTGCCTGCGGGAGGGCATAAAGCAGGCAGCGCCCAGGGCGCCTGGCACCTCCACCCGCGCCTGCTCGCCTGTTGATAGCTCCGCTAGTGGCGCTGCCGGCGGCGAGCGCGTGTGGGCCCGCGGTCAGCCCGCGCCGTTCCCGCCGCTCGCCAAACGCCCCGATTATCGGACTGCGGCGGCGGGAAACCGGAGTCAAATATTGTATTATCGCCTCGGTGCCGGGCAGTTAAATTGATAAATGGATTATGGCGCTCTTTAAAAGGGAATTTTCGCTGCGCCCGGCGCGCCGGGTGGTTTCGCGGGCCACGTCGGCGGCAACCACATCCACCAACCGCGCGGTTAACGTAGAATTCGCTGCACTGCACCACAGTGGTTCCTAATGCGAACGATTGGCTGGCTGGATGTACCAGCCGTTCATTTGGGGAGAGGGGATCGTAAATTTTTGTTAAATAATTAAACATATTTTTTAATTATATTGTATATTATTTATATACTGTAGATACGATACTATACAATATTATTGTTTAAATAGTTACATAATTCGACACATTAAAATCAATTTTGCCAAATAAAGGACCGTAAATGAAACCTCTACGCCTTTGAGGGGGGGCAAGGCTCCCAAGCCCCCCACCGACACCCTTAGATCCGCCAGTGGGAAGATCGCATTCTTGTTGTTTTCCGAGTCCTGTTGTGATACCGAATGCGTCTTCCTCTACGCAATGTTCAACTTCTCACTTGAGTTTTCTGCCTGGTGTGTAATTAAAGTGCCTTTGGATTATGGTAATGTGAGCTTCTGAGCGAGGTAGTTTTACAAAAAGTAATATAATTTACGTAAAAACTGCTCAATTCTTCTACTTTGGAAACTCATGTAATCTCATCGATTAGATGGAAATTAATAAACAAGTTTTTTTTTAATCTTACCAAACATTTGCTTGTAAATAGTTACGTAATAATTAATATATTGACAATTTTTACTAACTACAGCATTAGCCTCTGTAAAATAGGTTAATGTTATAACAAAGGCATCATTAGGCCAATATATCGTTTGTTTTCTTTACCGAATCGTAATAACTTTATAATGATTTTAGTTGTAGTCCATGTTATTTTATCTGTAGGCTCTTTGAAGTTATATATTTTCTGTGCTATGTAAGTTTAGTAAATAACTAAAATATGAAATCTCAAAAGCAGATGAAGTCAATACGTGTTGAAATTACTGCGGCAAAATGGATAAAATTACAAAACAACGCATTTAATTCATTCATACGAAGTCACTAATGCCTTTTTTGTGTAGTACTCAAATGAAAGTTCCGTGCGAATTATTCAAAGTTAATTACGTTTCTAAACTCACAGAGCACTTAATCACAAATTTCACCCATTCTCCAAGTCAAGAAGTCCATGAATCGATCATTCCCTCCAAGACTGTAATTGTTGCTCTTCTGGAGCCAGTAAAGTTGTCTCGCATCGCAGACGTGGCATTCGTTGTTAGCAGTTCGCAAATACGTAACACGTTGCGTTGTGCGTTGTCACGCATCTTAATTTGTAAACATTTTACAAATGTGAAATGAAAAACATTCAAATGATAGGAATATCAAATACTCAGGTTTTAACCGCCACATTCGTCCTACGAATCTATTAAACGGTTATCTAGATTTTAAGTATACATCGTAAGTATGCAAGATCTTAAGTATCGTATTTATAACAGGTTCAGAAAAATGTTACATACGTGTAGAGAATATAGGGCTATTGATTGATTTATGATCCGGCAAAGTCCACATTACATCCTTCGGCCCGTCGGGGACTTCTCCCCCCAAGTATCACCTCCCTACGAAGCACCGCCCCATCCGGGACAAGCTCTAATCCCGACTGGTCTCCCAACATGTGTGATAGTGTGTGTGTGTGTGTGTGTGTGTAAAAGGAAGGGGAAGGAAAGCTCGCGCGAGATCCGTGGTCCGTTTGTAAGGATACTGCTCCTGTACAGAATACATAGTATAAGAATAAATAACTTAATATTTTAAAAAAATATTATGGGGCTTTTACCTCGCCGATAACCGGTTACCCCTTACGTCCCAGTGGGACGCATAGTCGACCATTCACTAGGCACCACCACATTTGGGGTCTCCTCTGAGCTGGGATCAGCAGAATGCGAGACCCTCCACGACAGCCCTTACATGGAAGACAAGAGGGAAACACAACCATGCCCAAGGCGGGACTCGAACCCGTGACCCTTCAGACTGCTGAGTCGGTTCATGATATTTGCCACCTCGGCAATCCAGGTTGGCCTTAAGAATAACTACTACGGGGCGTATTTTGATGACCAAAAATGATCTGCAAAAAATCTGCAAAAAATGACATTGCCAAAAATGATTAATAAAATGCAATTAAATTGCTTTTAAAAATGCTCTAAAAACAAAGAAATATTACGTAAAAAACTGATGAAAACCATTTCATATGAACAATTCAAGCTCTTGATATGTAACTGATGATTCTTCCTTTTGTTGACGTGAATTTAGCTCGCAAACATTGGGTTTGTACTGTTCTTTAAAAGAAAATCTCTGACTATTTATCGCGAAATCGGCCGACAATGGCACCGATAAACGACACGGGAACCTTAGATTGCATAGTACTCAAAACGGCTGACATTAAAATATATGCGCGAAGAAATCGAATACGTTAACCAGGAATTCTGTGGTGAAAATTTGTTGCATCTCGTAAATATGGTTTGTAGCCAGTAGCATTAAAATTATATTAAAATTGATTAAATAGGCAAAAAATGCAATAAAGATGACGTAAAAAGGAGAAGAGTTACTTATTTGTCGAAATCGACAAAAAAATGAAAAAGAAAAAGAAAGAAAGAAAGAGAGAAAAAAAGACTTATAAAAATGGGTCATATCGTTTCATCATAGCATAAAATGAATTTCTGTACTAAACTACATTGTTCTAAAGAGCGAAAAGGAAAAAAAGCGCCTCCTAATAATAACATACAAAAAATCGATACCACTTTCAACCCCTAGGAATCACGTTTCGCCCACTGCGCGCCGATGGCGCGTGCTTTTTCGTGTTGGCGGCCCTCGCGCGCTCCTCGCGGAGATAACCAACGCGCGGTCCCAATGCGTGCGCTCACGCGTGTCTGTCAACCGCGCGCGGCCGCGTGCCGACGCGCGTTTTCAAGCCTCCGCGCGTCGCCAGGGCCGTTCTTCGCAAACGACTCGCGTACGGCGCCTGTGGACGCGTTTCGGCCCGCGTGCGTTCCAGGGAATTACCTGCTCGGTTTCTATTTTCGGTTTGGCGGTCTCGCGAAAGCCATTGAAAAATTGCCGCAAAATTGAATTTGGTTTTCAGCCGGATGGGGAGTGTGCACGAAACCTGATAATTCGAGCCATGTCGTAACCATGTTTTCTGCATATCGGATAACGTGCAGTTGAACACAGTTTCATTGAAATGAGTACAGCCGAACATAGAACGAATTTCTAAATTACGATCGGTTTTCATTTTATTTGCTTTCTATGCAACTCTTCTTTTATTTCCCTTATTTCATCAGAAAGCTGAAAATGGTAGAATTATTTTCCCTACATTTTCTTTTAACAACAACGAAAAAATATGAAGTGTAAATTTCCTCTATTATTTTTCCTCTTTGTGAAACCAATGTGATCAAATTATCAATATGCATGATCTATGGTATCTGTACACATTTTCACATAAACAGCTTACTATGTTGTGTGTTTTGATAAATATTTTATAGATATATATTTCAGTGTATTTCTCAGACAAATGTGTTTAAATTTCGATTAGAATATCGACAGACATTGAAGTACCTCAACACGCTACTGAACTTCTGAAAGTTCAACACTACCAAACTCTAAAATCATGTTCCCGACACTCAGGCATATTTAATCCTTAAATGGAATACATATTCGTGAACGAAAAATTAAGTGGCGAAAAAGTAATTTGCGAAATTTCAACGCAGTAAAACTGAATACTGATCTTTCTTCAAAATATGTATTATGCAATGGGTATATACGATGTATAAATCTTAAAAATAATGTTACATACAAACGAAAAGTAATTCCATGCGGAATTTTTAATGCATTGTGCTTTGTGTGTGATTCTCCTTAACGCCGTGTTGTGGTGTGCTGTGCGCAGGAGTGGTGCTGCTGCTGGGCGCTTGGCTGGTGCTGTTGCCGCCGGCGGAGGGCGCGGCGTCGAGCCCCGACGCGTCGGAGCGGCCCGTGCGCACGGCACGCATCACGCTCGCCGACCTGCCGCCCACGGCCACGGCCAGCGCGCTCGCCGCCGCCGCCACCTCCCCGGGCCCCAGCAGCCCCG